GATATCTGTTCAACTTTTGTTGAATAGATGGTAAGTTGGTCTTGAACCAACCAGCCTACTTGGCCTATGCACCTGAGTTACAATGAGCTACATAGGCAGGTAGGAAAATTAAGCTTCTGTCTCAGAAATATCAGAGAGAACCACAATATTGAAGGTCAACATCAACAACTGGTGTGAATGCAGTGTTTACGACAAACTTTACTGGTGAATTTGCTCATGGAAAAATTTTACCATGGACTTCAACTTTGTTTCAAGGTTCCAGGACGGAAGACAAATTGTCACTAAGGTTTTCTACGGTTACTTCTTTTAGTTCCACAAGCTCAAGCGTACAATGAAAGTTATGCTGCAAAATGTATTAGGCGCAGTGTCAGATGCAGTAGGATCGAGGGAGTTTTGTGTATTACTGTAGTGTACCTTGTTATCGGTTCTACGTCGGACTTTCTTGCAAGTTCCATATGAGCCAGATCCTATTTCACTGAGGATGTCATAATCTTGGAGTTTGGAAGGCATGGTTTGTCTTTACAAAGCTGCAAATTTTAAAAATATCTTTGTTTGAGGATCAGTTTGTAACAGCTGCCGTTGTAATATCTAGCAGACCAACTGTCTCCCCGCATTAATCTTTATCTTTCCATTTCGAACGGTTTTGCCAGCCTTTTCGAGTTAACCAAGCGAAAAATAAAGTAAAAGACAGGAAAATTACCTACCTTCGATCTGGTAAATGAATATGGCCGTCTCTTACGAGCATCCAACATTCGAAGAAAACTTGAACTTCGTGTACTGCTCTCTGATTGGCTGTTCCCTCGTCATGTGCCTCTCGACCTCATGACGAGGCTGGACACAGCCTCTTTTTGACAGTGAAGACATGGCCTAATTTCCCGCCTTCTAATGTGTAGTAAATTAGAAGAGCGTTAAAAAATATTTACTCAAAAATATTCATAAACACTCAATCAACTCGGAACCGGGGAAAATACTAATTGAAGGAATGAATGACTGGTTACGAATAATATTCCTTGTTTAGTCTTTTGTAGATATCATAGACTGCAGAACAAGTGGTGCATGGCGAAAAAAGTTCTGAGGCAATGCATATTCATTTGCGGTCCTTTGCCGTTAATTGTCTAAACCTTTCTCAATTTGTTAACCACAACAAGCTGACAAATTATTCCGTTTTATCAAGAGCCATCTGGCTCTTGGTTTTATTTTATTTTGGTGTCTAATTAGTCATTTAATAAACGTCGGTTTGGGATGCATGTTCTATGCAAACATTACTTTGAGGTAGATAGTCAACAAGACAGCCAACTGAAATTTTCTCAAAATTGTATCAATAATGCCCTGCTTGACTAATACACAGAGGATCTAGGTAAGTTGACTCCCCTGAGAGGATTCGAAAGGGCTGTGGGGACTCCTTCTTTAAAATCACGTTTGTAGTACCGCTAGCAGAAATTGATTGCTCACTCTGTTGCTTTCAATAAGGAATGAAGTAGCCTTCCAAGATATACACTGCCATTTTTTTTTGAAAGGGTTATTTATGCCTTATAACCAACACTTACACTCAAGATGCTGTTCATTGTTGCTACTATAACTTAGTTAGGCAACCGCGCGTTTAACGTGTTAGGTAGTCGCTTTTCCTGCTTTTCGAGAAAGTTGTCGCTTACAACAATATTTTCTCCTGATATGGAGGTCAAATTTATCAAACTTGTCATGCTGGAAGTCACTAGTTCATACATCAGGAGTCTTTTGGAAGGTGGTACTCCTCACCGTCTCTTGACCGTTTTGGTTTTCAAGGTATAAAACCAAAACAGTCACTGTCGCTTACAAGAATTGGTTGCGTACTGTCTGGACTTTTTTTCGACTAATAAGTGCCCGCGCCTGACATACAGTAGGGAACTTTAGCAACGGCGACGGCAACGAAGCGTCAAAAAGCAATGGGTTTATTAAGCAAAACAATAACTTTGCACGTGTATCACGCTTTTTTGTACTTTTCTTTGCCGTCACTGTACGGCTACGACGTGAAACTGCCTAATTTCACGTTTTATGGACGACGTAAACAAGCTAAGCGACGACGAATGAGTGCGGTCCCTAATATTGAACTGAACTCCCGGGAAATTCGCCGACGTGTGACATTTTCAGCGAATTGGAATAAACACGACAAAATTTGAAAAAACGTGAATTCATTTGTGACGTTTTCGTTGCCGTCGCCGTTGTCGATGCTAAAGCTCCCTAGTATCAATATGACTCTATTTTTAATTATGTTTAGGGCTGGCAGCGTACGAAAAATCAGCTGATTTTTCTTCCAGAAGCACCTGTTCGCAAACCAAAACGATTGTTATGTGCAAAGCTGTCGGAATAGGGAACACTGAGGAGATACGGGGGTTGGGGGGGGAGGGGGACGCTTATTGGGGGATGTAGGAAACCGTAAAGCGAGTTTTTTTCCTCCCCTATAAATGAAGCTATGAAGCTCTAAAGTTCATTTAAAGAAAACCTTAGTGTACAGAAAATCTGACAACATTAATTTTCTTAAGTCTTTTCATCAGGTACTTGAATCGACCATTTAACTTTATTAAACTCAGTTTGTCAGTTTGAAGAGCGATCCTTTGTCATTTTGTTTCAAAGCCAAGAAATGCTTTGTGACAAAAAATGACAGCTTTACATTTACGGCTCTCTAGTATATTTTTACTGACAACTCAAACTTTGCTTTGTGATACGATTGTCGTGCGATCAACGCGATTACTGCAAAAAAGATAAAGACAAAAAATATATATGTATCCTGGTACATTAAACAACTTCGTCTATAGTCAATGGTCAATATACATTAACATACAGTTAAATTTGAAATCTATTTCTCGATTTTGGATTTAACACTATCTATAGTAGAGGTGACGAACAAAATTGGAATGATTTTATTGTTTTTATCAGATTATAATTACTTTTTTTTATAAACGTTCGCTTTTTCACTCTGGAATTGAAGCAGAAAATGTTCACCAGGAAAACAATGGTTCACGGATAAGTTTTAATGCTGGAAAAGTTTTTAGAAATGGGAATAATCTATCACGCTTACTGTTGCACTCGCGACGTGTGCGATAATTTATCAATATAGACTGACTAAATATAAAAATTACATTTGCAAGTCAAGTCGTCATGGGTAGTAAAATATCAACACATAGCGAGGACTTACAAAAACACCCTTTGTTTTATAATGGTGATAACACAGTTTGATGCTTTCAATAAGTTCGTTGCCCGCAATCATTTTGTGACATTATAACAGCATAGATTTCAAAACTCGGAGGAAGATCCGGAAGGAAAAGCAAGTTTTCCTATTTTTCATTGCATGGCATCACTAACGTGACCAATATAAGAGATAGCTTCCGCTTTGATATATCGGTAAGATTCGTTGTTTTTCCGTTATTGACTGATCAAAGTTTCCTGTTATTCTTGAATGAACTCGGTGGTGATTTTTACTTCGACGGACAAGGTTAGAAGACTTCACTACTCGACTGCTTTAGAGGAGGTATCATAAATATAACCATAAATTATTGAAACTAAAAGCAATGGCAAATTTGAGGGGAAAACTTACATTTCTATTTCTTTTATCGAATCAGACTGTAGTCCTTTTCATTTTATGAAAGTGACTATATGAAATTACTTTCGTTTAAATTTTATCACTCGAACTTTAATTTTAAAGGTATGTGGCGCGCTTTATCAGTGGCCTCTCAATGTGCTTCTATGTTTTGATTTTGAGAGATTGTTATTCCAAAATAACGGTCTGCAAACTTTAAGAATAGTTTATCTTAAAATGACTGCGCTTTCACAGCGATAATCAGATTTGGACTTGGCATTCGAATAATACAAAACTTTACTACTGAACGACTCTCCACGCCGAATAAATTTTTATTTCGTTGTTGCAAACCACAGCGAACAAGATTTATCACTGATATTCTCGACAGCTGACTTGCAGTTTCAAAGAACATGACGTCAGAAGAACTTTAAAAGAGACTTCAATCACCGACATAAGTCAAGTATCACACCTTCTAATAGGAAACTCACCTTGCCGGGTCAAAAATCCATTTAATGCATTTGCGTTTCCAATCTACAAAATTGCTATAGAACACTATAGTTTAAGAGAGTTTATATCTAAACAGAGAAATTA